GGCTGCTTTGCTTTCCCCAGCAGCAGCTGATGAAGGCAGTGGAAGTAAGCAGGCAGTGAGGAGCACCGCAGAGCGTTCCTGGAGCTACCCGGGTAGGTCTAGGAGGAAATCGGGGTGCTGGCGCAGGTACCCGCGTGCCGAAGGAAGCCCGGGGAATTGTCATGTGGGGCCTGCACAGCCTGCGGCGGGGCTGCTGAAGTGCACTTTGTGTGCCAGCCACTAGTAACAGTGTAAACAGTGGAAAAGCCGCGAGTTCAGCTGTTAGCACCTGTATCTGTTCATAGCCGTTTATAGCTCTCTTCAGTTACAACTTGTAACCATCAGCAGCCCCCATACCATTCTTAATACTATTAGGCAAGTGCTGAACCTGAATGTGACCTTGCTGTTCATCTGATAGTAGCAAAGTGCACCAGTGCCCAGCTTTCTATGGGTGACTTCGTATTTCTCTGTAATAAATCTTGCTTAGTGAAGGGTAAACCGAGGCTCAAAGTTCTGTTTAAATGTTGATTGTACTGTCCATGATACTCATTGACTGCGTTTGTGCACTCTAACGTGCATTGAAGCATTACTTGACAGAGTATGAAGCTTGCTAAGCTGCCTTGGTTTATTGGCAGGCGTGTTTTGCCAATTATGTCTCCGCATATTAAGATATTGCGGTAGTGTTTCTGAACAGTTGAGGTCCTGTTTTGAGTGGTCTACAGGTGAGTAGGGAAATAGTCTCAGGTCTTAATTTCTTTGTAAGTTATTTATATGCTACTTTACGTAGGAGTTTTAGCTGGTGCAAGTGTGAGTGTGTATGTACCTATTATAAAGAAAATAGCAAATGATGTGCATTAGTACATGTTTTCTGTGAACATATCTTCACTTGTTAGTGTGCTCTGTAGAGTGGGGCAGTACATCACTGTACATACATACATGTTTGCATGGCTGCATGTGGAAATGAATCAATGGCACGAGCTTGTGGTTACATAGATCTCAGTGGGAGTGATGGGCAGGGTCTGTGGTGGGGAGAAGGACTTGCTGCTTGTACCAGCAGTTGGCCGACTTCTGACACAGCTTGTCCTGAATACAGTAAAAGTCCTTGGAGCACTTCCAGGAGGTGTGTAGTGAGGACTGCAGAACCGATGCTTTGTTTTGCCATGGGGAGTAGAAGTGTTCAGAACTGATTAGTCTTCCTACTTTTTCCCAGTCATCTCCCTTACTGAAAGCTTCTCCTCCCACCTCTCTTCTGTTGGTGTATTTTGAACCATATTCTTTCTTATCTGGTGTGCTTGCTTTTCTTATTATTTTCTTTTTTTCCTTTGAGGAAGGGCACTTCTTAGAAGATGCAGGAGAGTGGTTCTCGACAGTGACTTTGAAACAGAGGGAAGTGAGGCAGTGGCAGTGCGATCATTGAACTAAGTTCTTGCATAACAGTACCGACATTGTAGCATGGCTTTCCTTATAATCTCTTTTTCTTTGACCAGCCTTATGGTGCCAGCTTGACCACCAGGCATGCATAATTATATCCAAATGCAGTCTGTTATGGTAAAGTCAGATGAACTGGATGTTTCAGGACAAAATTTTCTGTTTGCACTAGTTGTAAGTTTAATACAAATTTACTGTACTTGTATGTCCTGTTGGGTTTTTATTAATTTATATTCCATACTTGCATTACACTTCAACACTTGTTTTTAGGTGGCGTTTAAGTATGGAAAGGAGCATTTGACAAGGAGGCAGAGAACAAAACTTTAAAGCCATTATATACATAACTAGTAAGTTTGAGGAAGTGACCTTTAACATTGTGGATGGTATAAGTGAATGAGACACCTTCCCAACAAACACCTAGATATCTGCTGCAGATTGCAGAAAGTTAAGACAAAAAACTAGTCATTTCAAGTGCTTCAGTTAAAAAAGAAAACAAAACCCCCTAAATTGCATTGATTAAACATATTTTTCCTGATATCTTTGAGTGGGTGTTATTTTTAATTAGTATCTTTCTGTGAATAGCTATTCCTAGTCAAAGGCTGAATATATTGTTACTGTTTAGGTTGATAGTTTCAAAATAATATCTGCACAGCTATATTTTCAGACGTGGCAGTATAGGAGACTGCCCTATCTATCTTTATTATTTTAAAAGACAATTTAATTTTTGTTGACAAGTCAGGTTGTGGTATGGTTTTTTGTTGGTTTTTTTTTCCATGTGTGCTAACCTGAAACTGGAGAGAAGAGAATGTTATGAGAAGATGAATATCAAAAATACAGAGAAATAAAATGCAACTATAATGAAAACGTTCTTTTAACTTACTAACTAAAGAATAAAAATTATTTGGTTTACAGTGTGCATCAGCTTCTTTACATGTATCTCACTGTTTCATCTTTTGATGAGTAACAATAGTAAACAGCTATCTTTATGCTGTCCAGGAGCATCAGCTTACTGATAGAGTCGGGGGGAAGTGTTAATTTGTGATTCCATCCAGCAAGGAAGTTGCAGTGTTTATTTAAGGACTCTAAATATTTCAGAAAAGTTACCATCTGTTAAATACTTCCACCTAATATTGCTTGGCAAAGAGATGTTAGAAGTTAAATGGCTTGCTTTCCTGCCATTTTCTTTTACTTTCCCTGTTTGCTAAGTCTGCTCATACAAAATTCATTAACCTGGACCGACTCTTGAAATTCCATCTGTCTCTTTTCTGTGTAAATTGTATGCTCTGTCATGCTGATCTGGTCTGAGCTGGTTGCTGGCGTTGCCAGTTGTAGTTACTTGGTAATTCATTTGTGATCCTCTTAATTTTTAAAAGGTAGCCTGGATCATAATTGTGTTCTGTTTAAAGCTGCATTAATGACAAGAATTAACAAACTAGTTAAGTAGTTGTTGCTTCTTGCAGTAGGGACTTATTATTAGAAATTATTAAATGTTTTACAAAAGAAGATTAAATCGATTCCTTGTTCTGTATAAACTACGTGGTGTTTATTGTCCAGTATACTGGATTGCTGAAGGGCTCAATACTTCACTTTTTGACAAGAACCTCCCCCCTCTCCCAATACACTTCTGTAGTTATCTTCACTTGTCGTTTTGTAGGCTGTTTTGCATCACATCCTGAAGTTATTGCACTGGGTTTATTAATTCAGTAATATCCATTCATCTGTTTCCTTACGGCCTGCAGGGTCATAACATATGCTTTATGCATAATTTCATTTTCTTGCGTGTAATTTTGAGAAAAAAATCTGTGCTAAACTTTGTTCTTACTGCATCTGAATGTTGTCTCATGTGGTGCAATGATTTAATATTACCTCTGTTCTCTTTTTCTTTAGCTTCGAGTAGTTTGGAATTTCTCCTCAGGAAGGGCAAGAGTTGTTGAAGAGTGTGTATAGTTTATTGATACCTTTCATGAGCTTGTTCTCTGATGTTCTTGGTTTGGTTTGGTTTTATTGTTACCCCTCTTCTCTGTCTCTATAAACATTGTATCATTCCATAACACATAGCACAACTATTATAGAGGACCTTCAAGTGTATAATGAAGCAACATTAGTCTTAAGTCCCTTCAGCTGAAGGGAATGAGCATGGCTAAAATCAACCATCTGGCTCTGGCAGTACATGCAGCAGTATCACCAACTTGCACTGGAAGAACCTACAAGCTGCATATATCTCAAAGTCTATGGCTTGGCTGCCCCAGCTCTAGGAAAAGAAATGTGACAAATTTGTGGATTCTCTTACATAGCTGAATTTTAGCTTGATTTTTCCCTTTTAACCAAATATTTCATTTGTTTTACTTGCAGATTGGAAATAATTCTTTCCAGAAAACTTTGCTCTACGAGTACATAATTCCATCAGCATATTTCAGTGACAGAGAAACAAGATGACATTTCCAAGAGCACGTACTATATGTATGTGAATTTTTCTTTTCAGACTGCAGGAGGAAGCTATAGACCTCATTCTTCCCCTTCACAGACAGAGACAATTGAAATAATTAAAAATATGTGCTGGCTTCAGATGTGCTGGGTGACTTTACTTACTGCTGATGTTTGGTAGGCAAACCTTGTATCTTCTAAGTGCATTGTATATCTTAAGTAATGGCAGCACAGAGAAGGGGAGGTGTCAAAACTGGCTTAATATCTCTATCCAATATATCTGACTCTTTTACAGAGCTGGTATCACTGAGTCTATTACCATCTTTCCATTCTGCCATCTGCTTATTGCGATTATAAGCATTTTATCAGTGACACAGATCTTTGATTCTTGAATGGTACTACCTGCAGGCTTGGCATCCAGGGAAAAAAAAAGAATCAGTTCTCAAAAAATAAAATCAGTAGTTGGATGGACAGAAATTTAATGCTCATCCTAAAAAAAGGCATCTTCTCAAATCAGTTCATATTCTAGTTGAAGATAAGTAACAATGGAAATACCAATTTACAGAGAACTAGTTCTTTTGCTGAGAGCAACTTACTGTGGTGGTTTTAAAATCATGCAGAGTTTCTACAAAGTGTAGGAGTGTCAAGGAAAACACATCTTCATCTTTCTTTGTCTTCTTTAAACATTGAGTAACTAAAGTTGATATTTTTTGAGTCACTTACATTTCTCTCCTCAGAAAGACAGTAAGTGATACATTCAACTGAAAAAAATAACAAATGACCAGGAAAAAAACCCAAGCAAAAGATGGCATTGGGTGCAGTAAGAGCACATAGCAAGAGTTTAGTCCAACAACAAATGATTTACAGTGCATATACTGGCATGGTGTGATGTTAGACATTAATGTGTCATATATGTCTGGTTTTGATTTTTTCCATGCTAACCTTTGAGTGGTATCTGACACCTTCATGAAAGATTCAATAATCAGAAAGCCTTTATACTTGCAAAACGTGGAGGTTTTGATGTTTTTACCCTTGAAGAGCTATCCCGACTGTATTAATGTATTCTTTGAGGTAACACAATGATTTATAGTAGTTAACCTAGTATTTCTACTCATTATCCCTCTTCTCTGTGTTTGAGACAATTTTCTCAATATTTAGCTGGATTGGGTCAGATTAATTTATATGCAGAGCCTGCTTTATAGTATAAAGAGACTTGATAAAATCTTGTGAAATCTTAATGAAGTGAATTGTATTCTGGAAGCACTTTTGGTATGTATTGGTCAAGTGAATCCTCTTGGCAACTATTATTTTCAGTTACTTTCCATACTTTTTAAGTATGTGAAGCAGCAGCAAAGAAAAAGATATGCCATCTTGTTCCTCTTCTCCATGTTTTGATTCTGTAGTAAATCTTTAATTATATATCTTGAATTGGCATTGCTCTGTCATTCTCTTTAAGAAGCAAGAAGATAAGGCAGCTGTGATCTGAAGAAATAACGCTTTTAAGCTGAAGTACTATTTTTTTTTTTCAGTATTATAATTAATGCTGGGTGCTGTTTTTTCAGTATTATAAGTGATGCTGAGAATTACTGATGAGCTTACACCACCACACAGCAATGAACATAATAGTAGTCATGTAATGCCTTATAACTACAGAAATGGCCTAAAATTGCAGTCTAAAATTTTTAAATATGTATTTGTAGGTAAAGATATCTACACTTACAGATACTGTGAATCTTATCAAATTATTTTCTTTTACAGAAGTCTTCTAAATAATGTTTCTCTATCCTATTTTTACTAGATAAGGAGACAAAGCATGTTGAAGTCATATGGCAGCTTGAGTAGCTCAGGTTAAAAGTCTTTGTAAAGAACAGCTGAACACATACATACTGAGTTCTGGACCTCTGCCTCTTGAGCTGGCCAGTCATTTCTCTCACCAGCTAGTGGTGCTCGTACCTTGAGCTTCTGATCTTTATGGCATCAGCTCCTGATGTTTCTGTTGCTTTCAAGTGTCTGCTGGATTTCTTGGTTTTATGGTTGTTCTTTGCACTGGGGCACAGAAATGGAAGTTTTGTGGTTTCAGGCTGAAGTACTAGGCTGGAGCTTGCTGACTTTGCTGCTCTATTTCCTTTGTACTGTTTTGGCCAGTGAGGGGTAATCGTTCAGCAGTGAACTCCTGCCCCCTTCCCTCCTGCTTGTAGTTACTCTTCAAAGTTGATTGCTTTTTGTTACCAGGCCACACAACGCATGTTTCAAGCAGAAGTAAATTAATTTTAAAAGCTGTGTCCTGAGAAGAGCCTTTGTGTTGCTTTCAAGTTCTCAAGGCTTTTTTAGCTCAAAGGGCATGAAGACATCTTTTCCTCCCTCCCTTTCCTTAGGGCATGTATTGCTGTGACAAGTGATTGTTGGTTTGTTGTTTTTTTTTTTTTTGTTATTGTTGCTGTTTATATGTGACTAGATAATATGATTCATTTATAACCTTGCTGTATGACTATTTTATTTATATCTTTTTCTATCACTTATACTTTTTCTAGCATCATTTCAGCTTTTTAACAGAATGCATTGAGTTTTTCTAGAAGATTACTGGAATGATTTCTGAACTACAGGGTAAAAATTGTGAATTAGAAGAACAGAAACAGTTAAATATTTAGGTTTCTTGGCTAAAACCACAGGGTAGCCAAAAGTTTTAATGTAAAATTTTTTTGTGCTATGCCTCCAGTAATCATCGTTCCTGATAGTGCAGGAACTGTACTTTCTACTTAAGGAATTGTCATGAATATCTTTAACTCAGTGGCTGAAACCTTACCATGTTTATTATCTCACTGCTAGGTATGGTGCTGAATTAGGCATGACTGCTTCTGCTATTCTGAAAGTTTTAGTTGACTCCGTAAATATATTTCAAAGTCCATTAAATATAGTGGGCAACATTCTTGAGTTCTATGTGAATTTTTTTCAGAGAAAAATTTTGGTGTTTGGTTTGCTTCAGTATTTTAATTCTTTATTTAGCTTTTGCTGTCACCTGTATTGTTAAATTCAAAATGCCTAAAAGCTGAGTGGATGAAGTCTATCTGTGTATCTGTAGAAGCGATGCTACACGAAACTGGTAATGGAGAATCCCAAGTAGACTATGATTGTGAGAACTGAAAAGGTACATTTATTACTAATGCTCCTTTAGTCTTAGTTTCTCCATAATGAAAGTTTGTCAATGGCAGATAAAATCCTCTTCAGTAAAACTATGGGGATTTTGTTTACTTCTTGTTTATTAGCATAGGGAGCAGCAGGTTGATTTGAGACTAAGCAGGGAAGCAGAGATGGGAACATTACTTAAACTGCTACTTCCCAGTCCCTGAACAGAGAAAAGGTAGGGTTAAACTTTGCATGAGGCTAGATTATTTTCTTTTGCAAGTGAGATTTGCACACTGCTTCCACTCTTATTTTTAAGGCAAATGAATAGATGTTGATCTTGATGGAATTTCTGGGGTATCTAATTGCAGAAGATTAAATAAAGTATTCCCTTGGTTGTTGCATCTTTGCTGCTCAGCCTTTGACCTCCTAAGCCTCAGAATGGCAGCAAGTAGCAACTTTAAAAGTCTGCAAACTGATAACAGCATGTTTTAAGTCAGTCTCACTTGTGAAACATTACTGAGATTTCAAATGTGGTTTACACTTATCAATAATGAAATTCAGAATTGTATTTCTGCTTGACATTTGCATACTAACTCCTTTCTTCTTTAAGTCTCATTGCCTTTAAACATTATAAAGCTATGCTGAATTTTTTGTGAACTATGTTGTCTAGAGAGCTACTGCTACTGTTCAAAGCAAAGCTGAGGCTGACAATGAAGGAAGGATGGATTTGGAAACAAGTGTGACCTTTCTATTTTGTGAAATAGCTATGTCATCGAGATGGTATAGATGATGCTGAAAACAAAGAAATGAAAAGAATTAAGCCTTCTCTGTGTTCTGGCGTCCACTGGTGTCTGACCTTGTCTTTCCATGCTAGAGATCGTAATGGCTTGTGGCAGACAATTGTGTCTGTACAGGCACCAAATGGAATAGTTGTGAGGGAAGAAAGGTCAGGGCAAAATAACCTGTTTTCAAAAGAAATACCATAGAATTCAGAATACTTGTAAGAATCTTATGCTATATTCATTAAATGCTAGTATACTGTTTCCTTTGTTAGAAATACATTAAAATAAAATAGTATGAATTCGGTTGATTGTGAACAAGATGATAGATTTCTTTTAGGAGGGAGGAGGGTTGCTTGTGACCTATAAAGGCAGCTGTTGAACAGCCAGGATGCCATTCTTTGAATCTAAAGCAAGCTGTCTTCACATCTGGAAGATGGAAGCATTGCAGCACCCTCACTAGATCAAGTCTGGCCTGTGGTTGTGCCTGTCTGAGGTAATAGCTGTTAGACACATTTTTTTAAAGGTTTGTTTACTGAGATTATTGTCAATAGAAAAAATATACAGCTGAGTATCGGAGCAGTTGCTGCAGATGTCCTAAAGGATGTAGGTGGCCTCAGAGGCGAGAGACTATAAGGAATGAAATTGACAGAAAGGCTGAAAAAATGAATTAAAAAGTTGCATCTTTTTTGTGTGCAATACTACTCAAGAATGTTTTTAACGTTTAAGAGTATCAGGAGTAAATTTATTATGTCTTTTATTAAAAAAAATTTATTAAAAAATGTTTATTAAAAACACCTAAGATAATTTTAAAAGGCAGATGTTGGTGATAGTTTTGTTAGGCAAGACCCTCCAGAGCGTAAGACAAGGCTGAATAGAGAAGTACTGATCATAGCTTCTGGATGATACAAAATCTCGTTTCTGTGATCTTCTCTCAACTCCTCATGTTGCATAAAGGCTCTATTTCTGATCAAGCTCTGTTTTATTTTTAGGAGGATAGCATTGTGTTTAAAATGGAAGTTGACATAAATGGAGAGTCCAGAACTACCCTATCCACCCTCCCTGTGCCTCTTGCAGAGGTGAGTCCTGCAGGCAGGATGGAAGCAGAGAAGCCCCGCTGTTCCAGTACCCCCTGCTCACCAATGCGACGGACAGTTGCGGGATATCAGATCCTTCACATGGATTCTAACTACCTGGTTGGCTTCACGACTGGAGAGGAGCTGCTAAAATTAGCCCAAAAGTGCACAGGAAGTGAAGAGCATAAAGGGGAATCTGGGCTGAACTTGCGCTCCAAACAGCTTGATTCAGGACTTACACGTTCCTCCCGTTTGTACAAAACTAGAAGTAGGTACTATCAACCATATGAAATCCCAGCAGTAAATGGAAGGAGGAGGAGACGGATGCCCAGCTCAGGGGATAAATGCACTAAGGCTTTGCCATATGAACCTTACAAGGCACTTCATGGTCCCCTGCCTCTTTGCCTTTTAAAAGGTAAAAGGGCTCATTCAAAATCCCTGGACTACCTCAATTTAGACAAAATGAGCATTAAGGAACCTGCTGACACAGAAGTGCTACAATACCAGCTCCAACACCTTACCCTTAGAGGGGACCGTATGTTTGCAAAAAGTAACACATGAGCTATCATCTTGAACGTAGAACCAATTTCTGATTATTTCTCCATTGCTGCAAAAATCCACTGTTGTACTGTGTACATGACTGTCCACATTGTAGGCAGTTGTATCAGCTAAATGTTATCAGAAAGTAATTTATTTGAGTAGCATCTTGGCAGTGCAATGTGTTACAAGTACTTGGAGGGAGAAATCTTTCCTGAGCAAGCAGCTTCTGATGCAAATTTGACTGCAACTAGTGGATATTTCTTTGGACACCTCTTAACAAAAAAAAAAGCTTTTGAATTTTGGGGTTGAGATTTTTTTTTTTCTTTGGTACAGTTAGATCTAGTATTCACAGTAACTTAACACTGAAAAATTAATGATGTCTGCTTGGTTGTTGCTAATTTTGGCTTGATGTTAGAAACTGCTCTTGGATAAGTACTCAAGTTTAGGAGGTTCTTTGGTTTTACTTTTTGTTCCTGTATTCTACAGTAAAATGAATGGATTTTTTTTTTCTTCATGTCATGGAGAGGAAAGTGAGCTTGGCTAAATTGGATTACTTGCTATTTAAACAATCCAGTTCAAACATTTTCAAACTGCATTTGCACTGATGATGAGAGTGAGATTCACTCATAAAACAAACCTTTGCTACTTGAATACTATTAAATTATTTTTTAGTTTCTGCGTGGAAGTAATTGCTTTGCCTCCTCTCTTCTATAAAACTTGTTCAGGATAAATATTTGGGTTATTAAAAACAAATCTTTTGGGGAATGAAAATTTTTTTTCGTTAGTGGGATTTATTTTTCACATTGTCTTGACACACGAACAGGGATGCACTGCAGATTCCAGTAAATACATTGGAATGTCTGTGTTAGTATGTCAGTAATGTTTTTTTATTTTAATTCATGATTTCTGTATCATGTATAATAAAGGAAGGTGTCAAATAACTTCAGCATTGCTTTGGAAATTCAGTTGACTTCAAGCACTTGAACACTTGAGATCTGGAAGGCTGATTTTTTTTTTTTTTTTTTGTTTAAATGGAGTGCAATTGAGGTATTCCTGTATCGGCATTGAAGAGATGATACTGGATTATTTAACAGAGTAAACTGAATACACTGGCTTACTTTTGTTACTTAGGAATTTTTTTATCCAAATATGACATCAAATGCAGTTTTGACAGCTGTATTCCTGGATGTATTTAAAACATTTTGGTAACATGTTTAAAAATGAAAAATAATTTTCAGACTTTTTTCAGGTGCAATCTTTCACTGAAGCAGTGTGCAACTTGGTTTTGGCTGATGACCTTTGCAGAAGAAGTTAAAAATAAGATCTTGTTGTTTTGAAACATAAATTGTTTGATCAGTTTTTTCTCATAGAATTAAGATTTTGTTTGTCATTCAGAATGAATAGAAAGCAGTAGTTAGTGTATATGCTGTGAAAAGTGAAGAGGTCTTCTCATTCTGTTACTTACTCCACAGTTGTTCATGAAGCTGCCTTCAGTAGTCTGCATTTTGCTGGTTTGGTTATCTTTTTTTAGGTTTATTAGAATCTTTACAACAAACTGATGTGTATTTTCAAAAGTTAACTACACCTGTGTCAATTTAATGTATAGAACAACAATCTTGAAAGTAAAATTTTCCTATATAGTCTTTAGTTTGCAAAACAGAATATGGTCAGATGCCAAAGAGATGGGGGTTTTGTTTAAGGAATAAAGACCACTGTTTATTGAAATACCCTATGAAACTGTATTTCTGGCTAAAAATAAAAAGGGTAGTATAAACACCTATTGTTGTGGAGTCTTTTGCTGTGTAGGAGAAAAAGGACATATAAAAAATACAATTTTAGACCAGGGACCATTTAAAAACAACTTTAAAGCAGGGATCTTGGACTTCCGTGAAATAGATGCTTAGGTTTGTTACTTTGTTTCAGGAAGTGGGCCATGCAATTATTAATATTTTGTGCATGTTTCTAATGTCATCCTGTGCCATAATTGCACAGCTACACTAATAGAGAGCTTGATGGCCATCTAACCAAGTTCAAACATAAAAAATGTGTTAGTACTTTACCTGTTCGATGATTTGCTCATGAAGGTGGTTACATGTGGTAATATTGTTTGCTTAACTCATATACAATTGCAGCTCTTATAGCATATGCTCATTCAAGAGCCCAGTGTTTTGCAAGTTTGGTTTATAACGTTCTTTATCAGACATCTTGCATCCATGAGGAGTTCCTGGTTTTATCTCTAAGTTAAGCAAAATCTCAGCCAAATGAAAGGTTTTCATCTTGTCTTATTTTTGCTGCTTATAATGTCTTCCACTAAACTAGTCTTTTAAAATCAAAGATGAGTTAATTCTTCAGACTACTAAAATGAAATTTAATGTGAGCATTACTGACCTTTCAAAGTGAGTTTTCGCTGTTCTTGTAATAAATTAGAAGAAAAAACATCAAAAAATAATGTTTTCTTGTCAGCTTTGGGTATCTTCCAGAAGATTAAAGGAGTGAAGGTAGAAATGATACAGTGTAGTAACACAAATCTTCCATTTAACAGACCATTAACACCAAAGCAGATCTGCAATCAATTACAAAAGTGTAAGCTGGGATATTGGGGCAGATCTTAAGTTCAGGTACACTGCTGGCCTGCTGGCATTTTTTTTTTTTTTAATATACCAGAAAAGGATCGGTATGAAATCCATGCTTTATATCAGTGTTTTCTTTCTTCATTTCAGGTACAAACTTGTAACTACTCCTGTCCTGCTGTCTCATGGTTTGTATTTACAACTGCACACAATACCTAGCTGATCTTACGGTTTCCTTTATCTTCTCTTTGTCCATCCATTGTACTCTGACTTATACTCGGTTCTCTTGGGTGATGCTCTTGCTGAGCATGTTTACTGTAGTGAGGATTGTTAATTGCAGACAATACTGCAAAATAAGTAACAGACAAGCTTTTAGAACTTTCCAAAACTGCTCTCCTGGTGTTTCTGCTGGGAAGAAGAGAGGAATGGAGGAAGTTTATTTTTAAACTGCTGAAAATGCAGATGTTGCTGTCTGGACATGGAGAAAGGTTCTCAGTAGTTCCAGGCTTGGTGCATAAATAATTTCATTATTTTGTGGGCAAATAAGAGAAGATGACAAGTGTAATTTTTAAGAAGAACTACAAGAGAAGAGCAGAAAGACTATAAGCTGCATAAAAAAACTTCCCAGATCTACAATATCTGCAGAAATACCAGCTGATTAGTTTCAGTAAAGCTAGGTGGTGTCAGGCTGTAAAATTTGAAGAAATTAAAAAGTTGTTCAGAACACAAAACTGTGGTTTGAAAAAGTCTAGGTAGGTTTCAAAGTATGTTTTTGTTTGGTAAAACACAGGATTCAGTTTAAAAAAAAAAAAAAAAGAGAAGTCTTAAGGTGAATGCTAAGCTTTATGGATCAAATGAATGTAGTAGTAGTAGGAAGGGAAATACTACCTATAATATAGAGTAAGGAAAGAATTGTTAATGGATAGCATAACTGTTGTTGTAACTCTTTCAGTGGTACCAAAGAGTTTGAAACAGAAATTATCCAACATAACCAGATTTTGATGTTTTAGATGTTTGGGAGCATGGTCTGGCTAAGGTCAGTAATTAATGTTAAACTTTACCTTAAATGGGAATGTGTGCTAAAAAGAAACAATAGAAAAAATGATCTTCAGTGAGAATATAAGGAGAAAAAAAACTAGAAAAAACTCTTTGAGGAAGACTAATTTTATAGTGGAGCTACATTACAGAAATGTAACTAAGTTGTTAAGCTGTTGTGGGAAAAATGCAGATCTAAAATTGAAAAATGTACATTTATTACAATGCTAATAACTTTAAAGACAATGTAAAGCTTGGCAGCCAACAGTAAAAGTGCACATTTCTTCACATGTTGTTTGAGCATTTGGCAAATACAGTTTTATTGATGAATCTTTCTGGGGACTGACTATTTGCATGAGTGGTTTTCAGTGATTTGATCTGTTAATTAGGACATCAGTTTCCGTGATGGGTGATTACACTGAACACTAAGAGTGGCAAAAACATGTGTCTAATAAACGGAACCTCAGAAGAACACACTTAATAATGTTTGGATTATTGATTTTTTTTTTTCCTGTCAGTATCAGACTACATTTTTTAGCCAGAGGTTAGTTCCAGCTTCTCAAGTTCTTGACAGCCTTGGGACTGATTATGAGGTTTTTGCCCCAGTGATTTTGCTATTGAAATATTTTTTTTTTTCTTCTTTATTCCAACATAAAAACACTCGGGGAAGATTGAGCTGTATCGTCAGGACCACAGAATATGGAAAACTTCCTTGCTCCTGCCAAAAACCAGGGGGATCCCTAGTTGTCTGCAGTACTTGCTTCTGATCTTTTAAAAGCTAGGTATCATTGTTAAATATTTGATACTTAAGCATAGAAATCTTCCTCTGAGCTGCTTTGTAGGTGTTTTCTTCTGACTCCTAATCTTGGGTGCAGCTTGGGAGAATGTAGGCTGTTAGGAGATGCTGATAACTGGCCTACAAAAGTAAAACATTGAAAAAATTTTAAACATTAAAATAAAATTTTAAGCATTAAAAAAAAAGTCTCTCTTGTGTCTCAGGAATCATTATCAAGCAATTCCTTGGCCTTTTTTCCATGCATCAGTGTGATGGCTTCCATCAATCAAGAACCACTTTACTTTCTTCCTCTGTAACACAAGGATCAATTCTTAATGACACTACTCCCTCAGAAGCTGCCTTTGGTTGCTGCATTTGGCTGCTTCTGGATGGCAGTAGTTAAGATTCAGTGCTACTGCTCCAGTGGTGTAAGTGCTAAGCCTAATCTTGTGCATTTTTGCAGGACGGCTCAAGGGAGGGAATGTTACCCTAATATTTCAATACTCAGTCTGTCTTGCATCCTCCTTAACTTAGCTTTAGTAGTTTGGTAGAGAATGACATCAAGACAAACCTACAGAGGAGCTATCTAGGCCACATTAGAAGAGCTGATGAACAAAGACTCAAGGAAATCTAGAAATGGC